AGTTGAGGTTTGAATGTAGCTTTTATCTACCTAACAAAGACTCAACTCTTTTCATCTCTGCGCTCTAACTGAATTCTGTGCAATTCATGTGAGGAAAATAATTTAATCATATGAAGATACATAATTTGCAATGTGATATCATTTATCTTCATCTTAGAAGTTAATTATTAAAGGTAATCTTGACTGGATAAATTATTTTTAATTAGTATACTATCCTTATAGCATTATATATCAAAGCTGAAGTACCTCTATTGCTATAAACTTTGTAACTTTGGCTGGGAAGTGTTGAATTATTTGCTTGTAACATTTTCCATAAATCTGTGCTATATCTTATCACAGTAAATGTAATTTCAGTGTTTGTAAGTTGAAATTTGTTTTTTTTTTAATTATACTTCCAATTATTAGAAATCTGAATTTGGTAATGACAGGTGTTTCTGGTAAACATTAATGTATTCTGGCATAAAGATTTTGGATTCAGAGAATGTAAAATGTTAATGGTTGCAAATAGCTTTCCATTTCTGTTTTTATGTTATGTAAATAACATCAATACTATATTAGGAAGTTAAACTACAGGACAAAAACTTGTTTTGCATTTTTGCATTTGATGTTTTAGCTTTGTTTCTATATTTCAGGTCACATATACGTGAAACCAATGGAAAGTTATTCCCCTCGTCCAGTTCACAAACACTCAAGGACCATACAGCAAGAGAGCAGACCCACCAGCCAGATGAACAGAAACTTGAAAGATCAAGTGAATGCAAATTTTCCGAGTGGCTTAAAACAGAAAATTCTGAGAGAACAGGCTTGCTTTTTCCCACTGATGATAATTCTGCTTCTGGAAAGAGAGTGAACAGTAATGAAACAGTCTCATCATCTTCATTGTGGTCGTCACACATGAGAACTGTGGGGTTAAAGCCGGAGACTGCTCCCCTCCTCCAGCAGCAGAATATGCTGGAGCAGTGTTCCTCTGAGAACTCTTTACCCGGGGAATGTATAATTCCGTCAACTTGCAGATCTGATGGTTGTCAGATGCCAAAAGTTGTTTGCCAGCATCCACCACCCACTCTGCCACCAAAGAAATATGCTACAGCCAGTGTGCCACAGTCAGAGAAAAGTGATTCTACACCTGATGTCAAACTTACGGAGATGTTTAAAACTAATTCTTCTAGTCTTCCGAAACACAGTTTAAGTACAGCTTCAGAACCAGGTCTAGAAGTGAGCACGTATATAAATGATGAAAGACCTAATGAACCATTTCAAGGAAAACGAGCGTGTTGGCAACACACCAGACTCACCATCTAGCTCTTTCACTAGTAATTTCCAGGCAGACTCGGGTACAGTTGTTGATGCTTTTTGCCAACCAGAAATAGACTCTAGTTCTACCGGTCCAAGTGAGACAATTTCATTAACTACCTATTTTTCAGTTGATAACTGCATGACTGATACATATAGATTGAAATACTATCAGAGGCCCAAGCTCTGTTTTCCAGAGAGCAGTGGCTTTTGTAATGATAATTCACTGTCTCAGAGTGAAAGAGGGCTAGGACCTGTGTTACATAGTGGCCTTGGTTCAAATTGCCCTTCTGGGCAAAGATATAAACCTGGTATACATTGTAATAGATAAACAATGAAACCGGCAAGCTTACATTTATCAGAGACCGTTAACCATTAATTGACTGACCAAACCTAGTGATATATGAAATTAAAAACCATGGCATTTTTAAAGTCATTAATCACTTTAACTTTCCATATAGCTATTTTATGTTTTTTGAAGATAAGCTTATTGGATATTTTAGAAATTCCCTCTCAATTGTCTTGGCATATATCAAAAAAGAGAAAACCCTGCAAAAATGTCATTCATCATATACTGCAGTTGAGTAGAACTGTAATTTATCTGCTTTATTTTCTGACTAGTAGACCCGTAAGTATTAAACCAGTACTCATATGTAGATTGGAAAACTCTGCTAACTGAAAGGTATCAGGTGATAGTTTGTATAGTCAAAGCAGTATTGCTTTGTGAAGAAGCACTTTCTAATGGGTAGCCAAAAGAGGACTTCACCCATTTGCTTTCGACTTCTGTGATAGTCTACTACATATGGCCCCTTTAAGTGTCTTAAGAAAATGTTGACCCATGAAATTAATAGCATTTGGAAAAAAAGCCTTAATGATAAAGCAGTTTTTAAATTAAATTCTCAAGGTCAGAAAAGACTTAACTTTGCTCCTAGAATTTTTGTTTTCAGAATGCCTAGTTAACATAAATTAGGCCTTTGTTATAGTATGCATTTATAATTATTTCAGCCATGTAAGCTAAAAATAATCACTTCACTTTGGTATATTTATTTATCTTGTTACATTTTTTTCTAATTTTATATGAAATGTGAAAGATTTTTATTTTGGTTTGGTTTACTTTGGGCCACTAATAACCAGTGTTAGGAATTAACCTAAGGCTCTCTGAATAAGAATATCACTGTGATTGCCTAAATTTTCCTTGCTATAATCTTATCTGTTTATAGGTTGTCAGCCCACTTTAGTGATTTTCATATTCTTAAATTGAAAAATCTTTCTGGGTTTTCAGATTAAATTTCTGCCTTTCATATAGCAGATTTGATTTTAATGAAATGTATTACTTTGAGCATGCCTCCCTTTTTTCTAGTCTAAACCAATAGTAATTTTACTCCACCTACTTCCATGGAAAAGGCTTTCTTTTAAAAATAAAGGAATTTTCCAATATTATGATGACCTTACCAGTGAAAATAAGTACTTTAATTGCCTTATTTCACAGTTGTCATTTAATTTTATACTAAGCTGGTAAACTAATTGTGGTTTAGAATAGTTTTATATTGTTCACTTATTATAGAAATAAAATTATAGAATCATACAAATGAAATTTTCCTTACATTCATCAGTGGATAAGTTTTACAGATAAAATGTAATAATTCCACAAACTAGTAAATTTAATATTTTGACCTAAATCGTTAAAATATTCCACAATGTAAATGATTAAAAATGAATAATTCTAGATAAGTAGAAAATAATTGCTTGTAGAAGTCTAAACTCACACACTTATCAAGTCTTGGCCAAATTTTGTCTTCCACCTAGAGAAATTTTTAGTAACCTTTTCTAATTATAACAGTAGGTGATTATTACTTTATGTTCTCTTAATTTAGAAACACTTGAATATCAACTAAATAAAATTTTATCTTTAAGAAAGCTTATTTTTAACATAGTTTTTAGTATGGAGGGTTTGTAAATGTTGTAAAGTTTGTAAAATTGTATTTGAAATGTCAGTGTATTTAATTACTACTTTTGTAACACTAAAATACTAGAAAAATGAGCTCCAAGTATTTTTAATAACTTTCAAAAACTTTGTGTACTTCATTTTTGGTTTATGTCCAGTTGAAAATGCATTATTTGAAACATTTAAACTAATTTCTGATACTTAACAGTAATATCACAGATTTGTATGAGAGTCAACTCAAAATTGAATTGTAAACATCAAATAGAAATGTCCAGTTTGGGCTCGTTTTTAAGTACTGTCCGGTTGAAACCTCCTGAATCATGTAATAGTATTAACAAACTAAAAACTGACCGTTTGTTTTCATGCTGATTCAACACTCCAAATATAGACTGAATATATATTTACTAAACTAATCACTCACATGTAAAGTTTTTTATTTCTAGGGTGCCTATTTATTTTTATGTATGTTTTCTTCTGGTTATAAGCTTATAATAACTTTTTAAATGATGCAACCAATAATTGTTGTAATGTTCAAAATACTTCAAAGCATTTTCATGTGAAGTCAGTTTCTTCTGGTTCAGAATTTTGGGGGGGATAAACTGATTTTTAACTTAATATGGTGGGACTTTTCTTTGCATTCATGAACTGTGGCTTCCTCTTAATCCCTGTGAATTATTTTATGGGAAACTAAGTCAATTTAAGGTTCAGGGGTGAACTTGGAACATTGTTGATCATAAAATTTATCACAGGAGACTCCCAAGAGTTCAGCTCCAGCGAGGTCTAAAGGAGGGTTCCTACAGGAGTTGGTAAACTTTCTGTAAAGAGCCAGAGTAGGTAATTTAGGGTTTGTGGACCATAGGGTCTCTGTAACAACTACTCAACTTTGCCACTATAGTGTGAAAGCAGCCATAACAACATTTACATTGCAATATGCAAATGAATGGGGGCATGTCTGTTTTAGTAAATCTTGATCGCTCAGCATTGAAACTTGGATTTTATATCATTTTCACATCATGAAGTAGTCTTTTGATTTTTTTTCTATCATTTTAAGAAGTAAAAATCATTCTTAGCTCACAGGCCTTATAAAGAGAGGCAGTGGGCCAGATACGGCCTATTGATGAAGTTTGATGACCCTTGCCCTACAGCATAATAACCTCTACATTAAATGCCCTTACTAAATATCCTGTAGTCTCTGAATGTATTCCCATGCCATTCAGGGTCCAGGTATATGGAACCCTCTACATCCTAAAATTTTTAGGTATAACAAACCCCTAAAGACTACCTCACAATTGCTCATTAGCCAATTTATTTTAAATGGTTATTAAAACAATCATTTCACGTATATGGATTTGTGAAAGTTACAAAGGAATTTATCAGACTAAAATCACATTGATAGTACTTTTTAAATTTGTTTTTGTTATAGCAAGTTTGCCACCTCTTCTTGGTGTCCCGTTTATCCAGTTAAAAGCCTTCAAATGTGGGCACTTTACACAGTCACTGTCCTTGAGATGGTGCAATTCAGTGGTAGACACAATTTCATCTGTAGGAGAGTCAAACTTCATACTGTCACCATTTTGTATACCACTTACAGTCATGTCACAACAGTAAGATCTCTCCATATTCCCTGTACTAGAAAATTTCAGAATATTCAATAGTTGTGGCTGTCACAGTAGGGTGATTTTAGGTTCAGAAAGGTAGTATGGATTAGAAATCTGTGTGTAACCTAACACAATTTGTCAAAACAAAAGCAAATCAGACCAAATTCACCTGTCCAATAAACATTTATTGGACAAAATTATTAGCAAGCAGCACAAAAACAATCTGGTATCCTCAATAAAATTCAGTTCTGTTTCTCTAGATGCTTCAACCTTTGTATAAAAAGTTCCCTTCAGGCAGACTCAAGAATACTCTGAAGGCACAACTGTTAACCTTACAGACCGCATTAGGCTAAAAATCCTTCAAAATCAATTTCGGATTTCACACCAACCCTAAATGCCATTCTAAAAAGTAGAGGATGTAGAGTTTACCAGATCTATGCTCTGTTTCTAAGGGAGGGGAATAGCCCTGAAATATTTAGGCAATTCCAATATATAAAATGTCACAAATTTCAAAGACAAGAGCCCATTTCTAACATCTGTTGGGTAACAGGAATAGCTTCTGAAGGGCTTATAATAGCTGCTTGGGGAGTATGAATCTTTCACATTAAATACTAGCTGATCACCCCTAGAATGTAAATTCTTGTTAACATACTTAAGGCAAGACTTCTGCCTGTTTTGTTCTCTGCTGTTCCTGGCCCACAGTAAGTGCTCAAATATTTGCTGAATGAGTAAATATGCTGACTTTGCTGAAGTATTTAAGTTAAAGACACTTAAAAAACTTATGTTTTGGGCACAAACGTTCTTAATGCACTCACAATAATAAAAAACAGGTTTGAAACACACAGTCCTATTTTAGGGGGTTCAAGAGCTTAAAAAGGAAGTGAGGGGAAGCAATCAGGTAGAAGGACACACATCCTAGCCTTCCATTAGTGGATATATAATTTCTCTAAAATTGTACCAATCTGACAACCATAACAGAGGTCCACTTAATCTAAGAATTAAACTGAGTCTTAACAGCCAATATGTGGTGGGCCTGTGTTTTCTGTACAGCTTCTAACTCCTTTTTTCAAAATCCTTCCCTTGCTTTTGAATAATAAGTTTTAAGAACTTAGCTACGAGTGAGATCATTACCCACTGGATATAGTCCTAGAGAGTAACAGAATGTGTAGAATGAAAGAGAGGTCCCTTAGAGTTTGAAATTCTTCTGGTGCACAATCCTATCTTCTTTGTTCAAGAAGTTTGTAGTCATTTTCAGAATCCACTCCAGGAGCCAAAATTCTTAATTTAGATATCAGGCAAACCATTCTGTAAAAAACAAGTATTTGTCAACAATGTTTCCTCTTTTTTCTTCAAATTCTTTAAGTCAACTTCTAAAAATTTTGATCAGCGTAGTCACTCGCTTATTCTTAAATGACTTATATATTGATAAGAGTGAAAAAGGCTCTTCCAAAGCTTCAATTTTCTACCTAGAGCTGAAAATTCAGATTGAAAAAAAAAAATCACCATACTTGAGTCTCTACCAAAACCAAACCAAACAAAACCAGGAGTAGTGTGTGGAAAGATTTTCCTTTACAAATGACAGAGGATTTTACAGAAATGTGCATCTCTTCCATTTGTCCCACTGAACCTTCTACCTTCTAATTTGCCACACCATCCAAAAAATCAAAGACAAAGGGGCCTCAGATACGATGAGCTCATGCTCATATCTTTGCCAAAACCTGCGGCTGAGGGTGAGGAAAGAACACATAATTCCCCATCAAGGAGGGCAAATTCATAAGCAAGATGAGTGAGAGAAGTTAAGGTGAGTAAACAATCAACTCCAAAAGAGCTGTTTCATGACTAAATAAGCTACATTGCGCCTTCTCCTCCAGCTCACTGCTTCTCTCCTGAACTTGTCCCTTACTATCATCTTAGTCCTGTGTCCTCCTTGTTTTGCTTCCCCCTCCCCATCCCCTAAGTTCCCTTCTTTTATCCTCTGCCAAAAACTGTCTTTTCAGATTGAGTGGCAATGAAAACGGAGAGCATGGATTGTTTTCCAAGTGGAACCTACAGAATTTTGTGACTTGTGTGTTGGTGGTTTGGGGTGTGAGACTTGGGTATAAAAAGGAGGGGAAATCAGAAAGAATTCCAGGATTCTGGGAGAAGAACTGGGTGGATAAAGTTAACATTTACTGAAATGGGTCACTGAAAAATAAGTACCTTTGGGTAAGAAGTTAATTCAGTTCTGGATCTGTTTGAGATAACCTGCGTGGCCTCTTTGTGGTCAAATTGTTGTACAGTAACAGCAGCTTTAGCTGAGCGCTTACTGCGGCCGGGCAATATGCAAATAAACCGCTTTGAGATAAATTAATATCTTATTTGATCAACACTGCAGCCCACCCCACCCGATTACCACTGCTTCCAAACGGTAAATAAGAAAGCTCCCAGAAGCCACATAACATCTCCAGTTTCTTCGTGGTAGCGCAGAAACTCAAATCCAGTTAGTTTCATTCCAAAACATAAAACATTATGATGCCAAGTTTTCTCCATCTCTCTCTCTACACCCTCAACTGAGGTGCCAAGGAAGGATATTTTCTCTCTAGTCTTCATTGCAACTCCCCCACCTACCAGACTCCGCCACTCACCAGCTATAGGACTTTAGACAGACCCTACTCTCTGGAAGTCAGTTTCCTTGCCTCTCCCCACCCACCGCCCCAAATTGGGCTAGGTGGTTTCTAAGCCCCTTATCACTTCAACGTTGCATTCAGAGTACTCACCATGGCAAAAAATACATGAAGAAAAACACCACTAGGTCGAAGAGGATGAAGAGCCAGAGATCCAACCAGTAGGACTGCTTTGGAAACTGGTTTGCCCCGGAACGAGCCCGCACTTGGTTCTGCTGCTGCCTCTCGGCTTCTCCCAAGCCTCGCCGCTCCCAGGGACCATTCCGACCATCTCCCGCCGCCGCCGCGCCCCTTTCCATCTTGCACCAGTCGCCGGGCCACAGTCCGAGCAGCTGGAAAGCCTCAGCTCCCGCACTTCCGTGTTCACCTCGCCGGAAACTGGGCAAACTACGACCGCACAGGCACACGCAGCTCCCCGCCCGGAAGTAGGCGCTGAGCCGCCCCTCCCACGGCGCAGGCGCGGCCGCCGCTCCGCTGTCTCCGTGACCGTAGGCCCGTAGCGCAGCCTCCACCCGGAAGCGGAGGAAGCGCGCCCGCCCACTCCGCCCTGCTGCGTCCAGGTGGGAAGCTAGTTGTTCGGGTTTCACTAGAAGGAATGCTTTGTGGCAAGACTGGAAGTTACCGTCACGTCCCATTCTGGTCAGGTGATGGATTCCACTTTGGAACTGCCCCTGGTCACCTCTCCTTATCACTGTATTATTCCTTTTGGATCCTTAACGCCATGGATTTAAAAGGGCCGCTCTGATGCGTTTTGTACTGTCCCTAGCTTGTTACAGTTATTTTATTTAATCCCTGAAACAGATGTAATCAGAGAGAGACATCATAATTATGAGCATCTGAGGGGGCTAGAGAGAAAAACGTGAGAATTTTGTATATACCTCAGAGGAATGAATTTAAGAATAATACAAGGGTTTGTGCTTGTGAACCCCCGTGAGATTAGAATGTTAGCAGAAATAAAATGATTTATCACTGTAGGAGAGGAACAATTTTCCTCTACCCTCTTTGGGTCTCCAGCTGGGCCTGAGAGTTAAACTGAGGTAAGACAGATTAACAGAAGAAAAAGATACAGGTTTTACTTATTTATTTTTACACGTACATGGGAACCTTCACAAGAGTGAAGACCTGAAGAAGTCAGGACACAAAGCTTTTATCTTTTTTAGTAAAAGAAATAACTAAGACAAAGGAGTTTGGGCTAAGGGTAGTAAGTTGTGGATAAATGACTAGGGAAAAAAAGTTAGTTTAACAAGGTTTGTTTGTATGGATTTCTTAGTCTGATTTCCCGTCTCTGGCGATAAAAATGTTTTCTTCCGGTGTAGGGAGGGCATCTTTTACTTGGCAGTTTTATCTTTTGCTTTCAGTAAGAAAAAGGAAGGTCAGAGTGCCCTTCTTGCACCTGCTGTTTTCTCAGGTGCCTTTAACTCAAAACAATCAGTATGCCAGAGTGACATATTTTGGAGTGACACGTTCTGAACTCCTTAATTTCCCCTGTCTGAAACTTCCCTAGAAGTTTCACATAAAAGCTGAGTTGGGAGCTGTGGAGAGAAGAATTAGGTTAGCAACTGAGTGGCAAGGAATCTGCAAAGGGGGAGAAGAACATAGATTAGAATGAGGATGAGAAAAAAAGAAAGTAACAAATCTAAGCACATTTCCCCATATCCCATTAAATTAAATCTATCTCTAGGAATAGATGAGTCCAATAGAATGGCTGAACCTCATTGATGGAGACTCTGTCTCGTCCTTCAGAATGTGCAGATTAGACACTATTTGTCCCAAGTGATTTACATAAAAGCAGCATTCTTCACCAGTGACCTCACAAGCTTCTCCTCAGGCTGTCAGTGTCTCCAGGGCAAGGTGATTTTGGAGTCCAACAGAGGCTAAGCTATTAGCTTTTAATTAAAAGGCTTCCAATATTTGCACAATAATGTTGAACTCTTGTTCTGTTACTATGGAAAGATTGAGAACAGTTTTTCCAACTCATAAGCTCCAAGGCCTAGAAAAAAGAGATCTCAGTACTGAAAAGAACTTAGAATTGTGATACACAAGCCAGTTTTCTATAACATCTCACCTAGTATGTTTATGTGGCACTGCTTTATGAGTGAAGGAGCCCAAGTGTATAATTTGGCTAGCATTTACGGTGAAGTACCTCGTAATAGAGGGTGTCAGGAGTTTGTGTCCGTATAGTTCTGACCATCCAGGTAGGAACTTGTCATATACATGATCTCACGTAAAATAAAAACACCAATTATCATTCAAAGATCAGATCAGATTGGAACTTGTGAGGTCCTAGTTGGGGTTTAGTGTGTCTTGTCACCTGTTAGGTTGGCATCTGTACATCTCCATCCTCTGTGTATTCCTGTCAGTCTGTAGGAGCAGAACAGGTTGTGAAATATCTGATACAGGAGGCCTACGGTTAGGCCTTAACAGCTATAATGCTTGCTTGTTTGTTTGTTTGTTTGTTTGTTCTTACCTCATCAACTTAGTCTGAATTTTTGGTCTACCTATGTGTAATCTTTGGTCTTTGACAGCTAATTAGGGGAGCAGCTGAGCTAGCCCAGGCTACACAAAGGTGGCTTAGGAGTCAGCCATAACACCTGGTGATTTGACAGGTGTCCACACCATACAAGTCAGTGCTGAGACTATTTATGCCTTCAGGAAGGCTTGAGGATGCTGTCTGTGGAATCAGACCTTAGTATGTCACCTAGGAAAGGTCCAGTACCATGCCTGTTATCAATTCAAATGGAAAAATTCCCTTTTAACATCTCTACCTGAGCAGAGGACAGTCCTTGAGCTTTCATAGAGATTTTTCTGTGTCCAGTTAACTCACTGAAAGAAGAAGAGTAACATTGTTTTCTTGATCGTGGCTGCCATTGCCCATCAAGCATTCATTTCCAGAGTTGGTCCACCAGGGCTCGGGCTGGCAAGAACAAAAATTATTTCAGGTTCTTTTGCATGACCTAGATGTTGACATTGCCAGCAATCACATTGATTAGTTATTGTGGCCAAGGTTTGGAAAACTAGTGGAGGCAGGGTGTCCGGTTTGTGCTTGATCTGTTGAGAAAACAGTAAGAGCTAATAAGAGTGAAGACATGGTTGAGAGAGCCTGCAGTGGAGGATCAGAGGGAAAATAGAATAGATGGAGACAAGCAATCTCCAGTTAGCCTTTTAATAAATAGCTAAAGAAAAGGAAGGCTTTGTTAAAAGGAAGATTTAAAAAAAATTTCCCTCTGGGTATAGGGAGACCCACTAGAGGGAAAAAATAGGTGAAAGTGAAGTTTCTTGATCTCTGATCTTGGAGAAAACTTCATGATTTTATCTGCTTCTGGGGCCTGGGAACCCTTAGTTTAAGTTCACCTTAGGGATGGTCTTCCAGTTGTCCTGGGAGTGCTGCTCTGGGTCAAAGGTGACATGGCTCGTGTTAATCCAGGAGAATTCTCCCTTTATTTCAGTGGCAGTGTACGTGGTTAGCAGTTTGTAAGGGCCTTCCCAGCAAGGTGACAATGCGTGCTTTCTTCTAAAAACCTTGATTCACACCCCATCTCCTGGTCAAAAGTGATAGGAAAGCTTGCCAATTAGTGAATGCCTTGCCCTTTTTACCTGTAGTTCCTGTATATAACTAGCCAAGCATCAAATTGTTCACTTGAGTCTCTGTACTGTTCTGTGAATCCAGGAATGGAAGGTTTAGGGATGCCAGCAGGCATAATGTGACCAAATACTGTTTCGGAAGGGGTTAATCCATGTCTTCTTTGGAGTATTCTGGATTTTTATAAGGGCCAGAGGTAGTGCTTCTGGCTATTAAGTCAAATCTCTTGACAGACTTTTCCCAAAGTCTTTTTTATGCCTGGATTTTTATGTTCTCTTTTTACTCTGAGGATTGGGCATAGTACATGGTATGAAATTTTAGCGAGTACCCCCAAATTTTTGCAAGCAAGTGGTTTATTTCTGCTGTAAAATGAGTTCCTTGGTCTGACTCAATCCATAAAGGAATACCCAAATGAGAAATAATCTCAGTTATTAAATTCTTTACCACTGTGTGGCTTCAGCATGTCTAGTCGAATGGCATTTAGTTCACTAAATACACAGGCAGGAAATCATCACTGGGAATAGCCTAAAGCTGGAGGTAAATCTGTGGACTCCATGTGAAGTGCTGCAAGGGACAGTGTGGTAGAGGAGAATATTTCCTCGCCTGCAGCTGCTGACAAGGTTGGGTGTTACTGACTAGGTACTTCACCCTGCAGGGCTGCAGCTGCTGAGAGATCCTGGGACCTCTAACATAAGCCGGCAGAAGAGACGAATTCTACCAGTCGGTCTCCCAGATCTCTGCCTGCAGTATCCAGTCAACCCAAGAATGGTAAGAGTCTCTCTTTGTCTTTTTCCTTTCTAAATTTAGGTTGGCAGGAGGAAGCATTTGTGTGAACCACTCTTTCGGATTATAGGGACTCTGGTGTTTTCTGCTGTGAGTACTGTTCTCTTTCTAATGGCTGTAGAGAAAGAAAAGCTTAAAAAACAATCTCCCTAGACCCCAGCACCCTCGGAGGGTACATTTTCCCCCTTTTGAGGGACAATACTCCATCAAATGATAGGGTCAGCTGGCCCCCAGTCCCACCCCAGAGCTCACCATTAAGCTTAACAGTAGAGGATTAGAAACTGGACTTCTTAATTGACACTGGTGCACATTTACAGTCCAGAGGCTTTATCTCTACCTATCACCTCTGATTCTATTCAAGCTGTCGGATTCTCTGGGCAATCTGTTTTATTGTCCATATCTCATGCCACCCCAGTAGACTCAGGACTTCAATTTTTTTTCTCTTCTGTCATTACTGCTTTACATACCTATGATAGTTTTCTTTGACAGTTGTACCGTCATCAAAACGAATAGCTATTTGTTGCAGCTTCTCTTTTAGCTTCATCTTGGCCTTTAGCAGTTCCCATCCATATACCCCACTATTAATCTGTCTCTGCGCCACTCAGCCAGCCTAGTGCCCAGCAAACACCCTTTGCTCCATCCAGATTGCTTTCTTCCTTCTTCCTCATGGAAACTGTTCTCTTGGCCTTTGGGCCTTGGTGCATGTTGTTCTCACTAAACTGTAATGCTTCCCCACCTGTCCTAATCTTACCTGTCCTTTTTCATTTCAAACACCAACTTCAGAAAGTTTTCCTCACTACAATTCACCCTGATCTCTCCATTTGTAGTATTTTTGATACACCAATTGCATAAAGTTCAGATTAACTCATCTCCAACTATTTCAGATGTCATGCTTTCCTGCTGGGGAGAGAGTTATCTTCTGAAGACCGGGCAGTGAAGCATTTGTTCCCGTAGCTTTGGCCTTTCTTCCGTATTAGTTACCCTCACCATTCTTTAACAGCCACCTGTTGATGAAGCTGTTTGTTGGTCATTTTTCAAAATTTCTCTACCTTCAGCTTGAAAAACAATGACATTTTCTTGACATATTCTTTGGTACATTGGCTTGCTTTGTAGCACAATTTTATGTGAACTGTCTTCCCTATCAGAGTATTAAATACTCTTTAGGAGGGAGACTATATTTTTATATAGTCTTCAAACAGTACTTTGAATGTGTAAGAAATTACATTTTTGTTCAGTTATATTTTGTTGTATTCTGCAAACATTAATAGAATTTTGGTCAAAAAATACTTGGTGCACTATCGCTTTTGTAACATAATAGTGTAATGATACCACTAAGATCTACCACTACTGGTCTACCAGTCTCAGTGGGGATACTTTCTGAGGTTTTCTTAGTCTAGTAATGGTTATACACTAATCCTGTCCCCTGTTTTGGATTTCTTGTCTTTAATTTCAGTACATACTCTTTGAATGCCTACTGTGTGTAAGGCACCGTCTGAGGAGCTACAGGAGATAGAGATGCAGTAGTCATCAAATTTAATAGAATTACTGACTGAGGACATCTCACAGACATAGGATATTCAGACACTCTGTCCAGGGCCCTGGGTTTCTGCATCATGGTTTAGGTGTCAGGTAGGCTGAGCAGGACTGGCTGTAAATAAACTGCCTATACTCTTCCCCATATCTACTCGCAGACTTCAACCATAAGAGCTCAGTTTTGTTTACTTTATACTTTAGGGTTTCATAAAATATTTTATTTCAAAATAAAGAAGGTATTCTGCTTCTTTTTGAAGTTTAAAAAGAACTTCAGTACGGTTGGTAGGCATAGATGACAAAGATGTTGAAATGCGCAGCCTTGAAATCTCATTGTGCTAATCAACAGAGCAATCAACCTGATTTTGTTTTACTGAAAGCTGTCAGAGGGACAGTCATTGAGATTGAAAGGTTAGTCAATACATGAGATGTCTATTTTCCCATAAAGTTATAGGCTTCCAAGAGTAGACATGACAATATTAACATAGGCACAAACTGGAATAATCGTGTTGAGTAAATGGATGCCAAGGTGATAGCTGCTATATATAAAATATTAACCCGAGTTACACTTATTTTATATAAGCATGAGAAATGTCAGCGTGTTAACAGCAGTTAACTCTGGGAGATAGGATCACAGATCATTTTATTCTTTGTATGTTTTCACAAGGGAAGTTGGGAAGAAAGATTTTTGAAATCAGTTAGAGCAAGCAAGAGGTAGTTTAGTTCAAAATTATTATTTAACCATTTCTAACATCAGATCACAGGCACGAGGCACATGAGTATCAGGGGATTATAATCATTTCTAACAGCTTTACAAACTGTAGTTCGTGGAGTTCTATGTTTCCTTAGGGAAAATTTAGGGACTAACATAGAGGAGATAGATGCAAGGAGTGAGGCTTCAAATCACTACTGGAAGAGCTCAGCTTTTACGTTCATATTTATAAATATACCCCATTAGAAAACGGATTTTTGGATATTTTTTTTCCTGCTCTGGTGAGAGTTCTGTCGAAAAGTCACCTTGGGAGACCTGTGTTCAAAATGGTGGAGTAGGTAACTCCACGCCTCTGTCCCTCCACAGAAATATTGAAAAATAAGCCAAAACTATCTGAAACAAGTCTGTCGAATCTCTGGGAAACAGTCAAAGGTTTACAGAAACCAAGCAAACCCTGAATCAAAACATATGAAGAAGACATAGATGGAATTAAAGGGAGAAATAGACAGATCTACAATAATAATTGAAAAATTTAATACCCCACTTTCAATAATGGGGAAAATATCTAGACAGAAAATCAATAAGGAAACAGAGAACTTTCAGACAAAGAAAGACAAATACTGTATGATATCACTTATATGTAGAATCTAAAAAGGAAAACGAACTAGTGAATATAGCAAAAAAGAAACAGACTCACATGTATAGATAATGAACTAGTGGTTACCAGAGGGAAGAGAGAAGAGTGGAGGGGCAGGATAGGAGTCGTGGATTAAGAGGTACAGACTACTATGTATAAAATAAATGAGCTACAAGGATGTATTGTGCTACACAGAGCACATAGCCAATATTTTATAACAAATATAAGTGGAGTATATAGCCTTTAAAAGTTGTAAATCACTGTGTTGTACCCCTGAATCATATAGTATTGTAAATCAACTATACCTCAATAAAAAAGAAAAGAAAATTGAGGACTTGCACAACACTGTAAACCAATGAGACCTAACAGACATATATAGACGACTTCACACAAGAACTGCAGAGTACAGCCCATCAATTGGTAATCCAGGCAGACTAAAACAGAGAGTATATTGACTTTAGAAACTGGGAGGAGTAAAGTTCACAAACTGTTCAACGTTACCACCTCACAAAATAATCCTGCACAAATTCCAGCTCAAAATAAACGAAGAAGCTTGAAGCTGTTGCTTGTTTCGTAACACTCATTCAGTTGTACAACTCTGCTCTTCCTAAGCTAGCAACTCCAAGTTCTCATAGAATGTGTTGATTAAAGTCTTTGTATTGTACACCCCAGAAACTCATAAATTTAACTCCAGGACTGTTTTAAGACTGTCATGAGTGCACGGATCAGAACCCAGGGCTTTTACTCTGTTACCATGTAAGCCGTAACTAGAATGGCTCATTCCCCCCACTTCTTTCAGGTTGTTGCTCAAGCGTCACATACTCAGGTTACTTTCCTGACCGCCCTATTTAAAATTGTACTCACGGTCTCACCCCTAGCATCCTCATCCCTCTTCCTGGCCTTGTTTTCTACATAGCGTTTATCTAATGTACTTTACATTTTACCTTTTCCTCCTTTATGTTATCTGCATCCCCCTCCCTGGCGACAGGGATTTTTGGTCTGTCTGCTTCACTGTTGTATTTCTGACACCAAGATCAGCACCTGTATCTAATAAATGTTTAATAAGTACTTGTTGAATCATACTTTGCAAGAAAATTTACCTACATAATGATGCGAAATAAAATTGAATTTGGACTCTAGAACATACAGTCTCTAGAACTAGACTGTTTGGGTTCAAATCCTGGTTCAGCCACTTACTGGCTGTTGACCTTTGGCCAAGTTACATGACCTCTCTTTGCCTCAGTTACCTCATGTGTAAAATGACAATAGTATCACTAGGTCTTATTTACAGAGTTGTGAGGAGTAATACGAGTTGATTTTTATGAAGCATTTTGAACAATACCTGGCTTTTTGTAAACACTGTATGTGTTACCTTGTGTGGTAGTAATAGTGTCATTGAACTGCATCCAAATTAGTGCTGTTTTGTGGATAAAACATTTATTTAGTTTTTACAATTTGCTCTTTGTGTTTGAGCCAATTTATACTTTGAAGATTTTGTAGGCCTTAGGAAGTAGCCTTTTCATGTATGGTTACAGATGAAAATAAGGATGAAAAGAATCTCAAATGTACACTAGGCCTCTTAGAATTCAGGAAAGACCATATCATCAGGCATGTTAGCCAAGACAGGCCGACAGAAAATATAATTGAAGATACTATGTGTTTCTATGAGAACTTAACACTACTTCTTTGTAATGCCCATCACAATTGTTTCTACTTTTAATGTCAGTCTTCAGCCTCTAGATTCTACTCTTAAGCTGGATTCAAAGCTCCATGGGACAAAATAGATTTTTCTTGTTTGCTACAAAAACTCATGTTATACTTGTCACATAGCAGATGCTTAATTCATATATGGTTAAAGAAATATGTACCCTTGGCCACTCAGGATCCAAGGATGCTGTAGTGAACAAGTTATATTTTTATTCACCAGCTGGACAGATTCATTATTTCCATCTCTAAGAACCTATCGCTTCACCCTCTTTTCTTCTATCCGGTTTCTGTTTCCTAGAACTCACCGGGAGCCCTTTTGCCTCATGGCCTCTGTTGTCTGCCTTTCCCTCTGTGCCCTTCTCCTTTTGCCCATTGTTAGGGAGGAAGATATTTTCCTCT